GACAAATCTGAGTTTCTTAGCATAAAGTTTGAAATGGGGGTATGCGTGAAGCCTCTTATGTCATAGGCATAGATATTCACAGAAACAAATCTAAAAGATCATTAGGATTGTCTCAAAAGCTAACAATATATATATATATATATATATATATATATATAAATGTTCAGAATGAAGGATTGTGCATTGAGTGTAGTACCAATTATTAAATGTCAAAAAATCAATGTCCATCAAATAAATTGAAAAGAGCATATGACATCTATTATCTATACCCCATACTTCCACTAATGGCAATGTATTGCAATTGATGTACTAGGAAAATATCAAAGTAATTTAGGTATAAAATATATGAAAGCTTCTAAGAAAGTGATTAGGCATTTTCAAGGAATCAAAGAATATAGACTCATATAGAAGCATTTCAACAAACTTTAAGTTGTTGGATATATGAATTGCGTCATCTATCATGAAAATTCATGACAACAATGTAGTTACAATTTTCTTTTTGGGATATAATAGAAGTGGAAGTCAAAGCAAATATTTTGATGTAAAGTATCTTATTTTCGAAGACCATATAAAGAAGAATGAAGTGATGAATAAACATATCAAGACAGGTTTTATGATAGAAGATCCCATGACTAAGGGTTTGCTTGCTCAATTACGAGACTTTGATTTTTCTTAAGATTGCTGTTTTTGTAGTTGAAACGATGTTATTAGTGAACTTAAAATTTGTAATAGATTTTCATTGTGGTTATTAAAGTTTGGATTCTGACTTATAGGAAACTCATTCATAAAGTAAAGTGCTTTTTCAAAAGTGATTATACTTGTAATACATGAAAAAAAATGTTTGATTATTAGAACATAACTGTCACGATACAAGTACTGTGAATTTTTAAGTAAGTTGTGGGAACTTTCAGTACATAGCCATATTAGGTATCCATCTTAAATTTAGTTATTAATAGATGTACGGACCAAGTGGGAGAATTTAAGTTTATGACCCATATACTCAATATTTAAAATTTAAATTTAAATAATTAAATATGGTTTAATTAACTGCCGAAAATAACACCTCATACGATTATAGGGCAGAAGTTATTTTGCATGAGAAAATCACTCACTTCTATAATGACCGGTGGATTGACTCGATGAGCGCGTAGTGAGGACCAGTGGTTATTATGTTATTATTAAGAATAATTTGAGTCATGGAAAGATGAGGGGAAGTTCTGTACTAGCATCTTATAAAAGAACCTAGGGTCTCTAGCCTAGCTTGGACAAAAATAAAAAAAATAAATCCTACAGATTTTCTCTCTGAAATTAAAAGTCTTGTGTTTTATTCTAGCTAATGAGAGGGCCTAAAGTGGGAATAGTCTAGAAGCCTTGTTGGTGGCATAATTTTTTAATGCAGATTTCAATTACATCTTGGACAAGTTACCCCTACACCACACTAGATCGAGTGTAAAAATTAGAAGAACATGTTTTTGTTCGACATGTAACAAATGTCATCTTTCACACCATTTTGCCAAGGGCATACTCAACCTGCACCAAATTGAGTCGAGTTCAACACGTCTTTACCAGAAAAATATTTCGCAAATCAGAAGAAGGTGCTTTTGTTCGATACATAACTGGTGTTTTGTCGACATTTCGTGTTCCCTCCATTCTTTGTGACGTGTACTTGCACTTGCACTTGATCCCTACTTGTGCAAAGACCTACAGATTTTTTTCTGGTATTTCCTCATTCTACATTCTAATGGATTTCAATTCAAACCGTTAGAAGTAATAGTTTTCATGTGACTTCTTTTTTCTGATTTGGCTTCATCACCTTCAATAGTTTTAATATATTCTCATCAGAAAAAGCTTGTTGTCCTTGTGGCCCTAGACGTATAGCATATCTCTATTCTCATCTATTTTATTCAACACCACAATTTCACTTTCATACCTTTGTTGGTGTTTTTAATTACACCTAGAACGTAGATCAAATAAATCGAGTAGACTATATATAAAAATTGTGGAATCAATAGAAATACCTAGAAATATTTTTCAACGACTAAAGAGCAGCAAATTAAATCTAAATATAATTAGACTATTGTAGGATTCGTATATTTACACAAGTTAATATGACTCCTAATGTTGAGATAAAAACTATGAATTTAGTTACTTGTTTGAGATTGTATTGTAAGTTCGGCAACCACCTATATATTATCATATGTTCACTCGTATTTAAATCAGCAAGAATTTTTGTTACGCCAATTTAATACTGAATTTTTTTTTTTTAATTTTTGGGTGCTCAAACACTTCTTCTCCCTTGCTTCATTTTTTCATTTTCGTTCTTGTCGCTCTTCAAATATGAGCATCTTCTTCACATTTTCCCTCATTTTTGTCTCCAATACACTCCAAACTCAGGTTTGATCGCAAACACAAAAACAAAGAAAAGTCAATGACAATCTAAATACTCAAAATACCATCTAAAAGCCTTTGTTAAGAGGTAGAAGTAAGTGTATAGAAAACACATATATGTCACAGACCTTGGTGGATTTACGTTTCACAAAATTTAATCTACAGGTAGAGAGAATTATTTTTCTCAGTAATCTAACAATTTTGTTATTTGAGCCGCTTGTTCTACATGTAAATGCCTATTTATGACGAAGATGTGTAAAAGCACATCTTTATGTCTGGAGAGTCAACTTTTCATGTGTTTGTTCTAGTGTTATTGGTGTGAATTGTCCAAATAGTCACTGAATTTTGTAAAAGTTTTTCAAAGAGTCATTGAACTTTAAAATCATCTAAATGGTCACTGAACTTTGCAAAAAATTTCCACGAGGTCACTGAACTTTGCAAAAGGTTTCTACAAGGTTACTGAATTCGGTGATCCCCGAGAAACCTTAAAGTTTAGTAACCATTTATGTGATTTTTAAACTTCAATGATATCGTAGAAACATTTTGCAAAGTTCAGTGACCATTTGAAAATCTTTTGCAAAATTTAGTGACCATTTGGACAATTCACTCTAATTATTGAGTTTGTTTAGTTAGCTTTTATAGTTTAGTAGTGTCAAAAAGTTGAACAAGAAAACTTAAAGAAAACGAGTAATTAGGGTTTAAGCTTCCAAAATTAGCCCATTTTTGTATTTCTTCCAAGAGAGTTTGGGGCTTTTGTCTTTTTCCTCTTAGATTGTGTAACCCTTCATGTGCAAGTCTTGATCCTCTGCATATAGCCATAAATTATAGCTCAAAATCGTGTATAAACTTTTACTTGCCAAAATACATCCGAAAATAGTTGCCAAAATCTCCTCGAGGACGACAACACAGCTGCTTTGCGAGCAACTCCATGTCGGCTCGAGTGACAACAATCTAGGAAATTCAGACAAAGTCTTCAATTACTTTGTTCTTTATAGCGAGGCTCTTTTAAGCTTGATCAATTCTCCTTCATTTTTGTCCCTCTTATTTGATCTTCGAGACTCAACTCTTCACTCCTTACTCCAGGACCATTCATGTACAATCTTGTTATAGTGACAAACTCAATGACAACCTTCAAGTTCGGGTTTGATCTTAAACACAAAAAGCGAAGAAAAATCGATAGCAATCTATTTTTAAATACTTAAAGCCTACGAACCTTGCTTAGTGTACAAGGGAAACACTGCAAGGGATTTTATAGGGGGTGTGGCATTCTGCCATTGAGAGTTGGCCTTAAATAAAATAAAATAAATAAATAAAGGGCAACCATAGAGGTGCTGCACTGACAACACAGCACATGTATGAATTTTGGCAAAAGCAAGATGTCGAAATAAATGTATAGAAAACACTTATCAAAGCTTGTCCAGTGCAAACTAAGTGAGACAAGCGGACAGCCTTATTTATTTATTATTATTATTATTTTTTTATTGACTTTCTAGAATATAAAAAAGTTGCCCACACAAGAGCCCTAAAACTGTACCAGGAAGGGCAGCTGTTCATTTAGAATTTCCCTTATGTCTTAAAGAATCTCCATGCGAAATGTAAACTGTTTAAAAATTGTGCCATATTAGTTAAAAATGTATGGTGTTTTGAGGAAAAAAAAATGTATATATATCTTCTCCGGTTTAAATTCATAGGTACTCAAAAAAAAAAAAAATAGACGATAAATAGAGCTCCGTCTATATTGGAAAGCTTTGCTAAACGGAGTAATTCATCACAATTAATATGTTCTTTCCAAATTTTAACGTGAATATTTTGAAAAATAATAATAATAATAATAACAAGTACCTAAATATCAATTCATAGAAGGCATCATGGACTAATTTTAAACTAGCGTATCTATTTAGTGCATGTTTGTTAAAGCTTATAATTGTTTATAAGCAATGAGTCTCAAAGAGTGTTTAAATATCAATATAACTTAAACGGAGAGTCTTTCAACTTTCATACGACTTAGATAGCAATTCATAGCCCCCCAGGGCCTAGTCTAGTGGTGCAAAGGATAGAAGTGAGGTTATCTCACGTTTTGCTGACAGTATGTGAAATAATTTGTTTGTTACGTGTAGTTGTAGCGATCCATGGCCTCCAATGATTGTGAAAATTTCAATGATAAAAGCTTTGAAGCAAACGCAAGCTGTCAAAATTGCCGGCTGGGCTGGAGTAGCCGCACTCGTTTTGACAGATTTTGGAATATCTAAAATTTTATTATTGTGTAATGCTCTAGAAATCCATAGAATGCACCTCTAATGCTCTAGAAATGAATGATCTATAGTAACAAAAGTATCATAGCTGAGCTGGGACAGTGCCAACGGTGTTGTGAGAAGGAAAGAACCAGAATCTGATGGAAAGTAACATTCCTTTTGCTCTGATGTGTCTTTTCTAACAGAGTATTTGTCGCCCCACATCATGTATTGTCCCTAGATGAGAATGATATTTGAAAGGGACTTGACCATACTGTACCATTTTTGCTTAAACTTATTGCAGAGAATAATCAGTTTCTGCAGGAACACAACACAGCTTTTTCTCTTACTTTTACTATACAGCCAATACTTCATTCTCTGTGAAAGCCACTTTTCTCGAATCACTTTCTATGATACAGAAAATAAAGGAAAATAATATGTCCCAGACTATGTACAAATATATTTACAAATGGAGATACAATAAATAAATTAATAAAAATGTATTTCATGAGCACAGCCTAGGTACAGATTTAGCATTGCTGTGGTTTGACAACCTAGATTTCATCATCTTTGTCATCTGAATTTGCATTTTCCTGCAAATCTCTTCTAGTTCCAGCACTCTCCATTGCATACCTTGTAAATGTGCTCCGGTACTCTCATTCTCAATTGAAAAATCTAGATTGCCCGCATAAAGGAGGATTTGTTCGTGGGTTTTGTCTTTCTTCTCCGTTCGCTCTGTTTCACGGAAAATAGGAGAGTTGGTGAAGTTATTTGGTTGATTTGTGGGTTGAAGCAAGTTTTTGAGTCTGCACTGCTGAAAGTTCAGTGCTTCGAGTGCAGATTTTGATGGAAATTTGTTGTTTTGAGCCAGGTGGCTTAAGGCGCCGGGTGATAGTTTCTCATAAGCTAGTCCACAGCAGACCCTCGTTTTTTCTTCTTCGGACAACCCTGAATGAACCTGGAACACGTTAATTGTCAAACATAAGAATAAACCATTGGAATGAGCTTTTGGTCTAGTCATTTCCTCGGAAATGAACTATGCAAATAAAAAGTATCAATATCAAGAAATTATTCTCATGTTTGCAATCAAATCTGTTAATTACTTTTTCATAAGAATTCACGGCATATTATAACGTACCTCTAGGTACAAATCTACGGACTGGTAGATTCCATCAAAAGAGTCTCTAGCAGAGTCCGGCAATGCCCTAATTAGGGCCAAGAACTTTGATGGTTTCAGATGAGGATCGGGAGCCACTTCAGCTATATATGCATCTACCAAGCTCACAACTTTTTTCAATCGACTCAAAGGCAAACACCATACTCCTTTGGCAAGAAATGATTTCACAAGCCTAAGAACCAGATTTACATCGTACAGGTGACGTGCCCGGATTGGAGACGGAACAAGAAAATCGTCGAATGTTGCTTGATCTAAGTGTGAACCAATCATACTTTCCAACTTGTTCCTGCTGCATTTGCTTATGTTTCCTTGTAAAGAAAATCGAAGCATCCCAAACAAACTCTTGTATGACACACTGCTTAAATCCAAAGAGAAAAGCATCTCAACAACTGTTTCGACCATCCTACTTTTCTCGTCCAAAAAGGCGGAAGCCAATCTTGATTTCTGGTAATGAAAGAGAAACTTACTGATTATTCTATGGCTTAAGTTTCTAGACACCATTGATTTCACCAGCATTTCAATCAGACGAATATCCAACTGTACAAGATCTTCGAACCACCATGTAACCCGAAGGAAGCTGCTTTTCAAGCTCTCGCTACTTCTCGTGTCACATGACGCCCGAAATTTATAACTATCAGGAGAAGACACGGATGGAGATGGACTTGTTTCACAGGATGATGCAACCCTTCCAACAATAGAATCCAAGCATTTTTCAAGTATACCTGAAGAGCTTGCAACTGCAAGGAAATCTTGACACCGCTTCAAAGCCACTATAAGTTCAGACCATGTCCAATACCTGATATCTTCAAGTGATTTCGCCGTTTGCTCAAGTAAATTTTGGCTTCCAGAGACACATTTGTTCATTTCCAAGAAATATGCAGCACAATTTAGGTCTGTGATATTAAAGGGATTGATATCAATCTTTCCGTTCTTGTAGCAGAACCTAGTGATGAGCTCAAAATTTTCAGCTCCTCCAGGAAAGTCATGGTATATCACCTTCATGTTTCGTTTTCCACCTTTCAATGTGCTAAACATTTTTCTAATACTTCCTGAATAAGATGATAGAACTTTCTGCAAGAATTATAGCAAAATACAAAGCTAGATAAGAAAGGATCGATATAGATGAAATAACAAGAAAGGAAATTATGCTATGCAACAAATACAAAAAGTCCCACGCAGCATTTTGGTGGTGCTCGTCCATGTTCTTGAGCGATCAAGTCATTGACTAACATAATCAAAATCAGAAAAACCATAAAATGAAATTAAACACTTCTTAGACACAATCAATTAAGTATAGGGCATTAAGAAACAGGCATGCCTACAATCCCATCAAAAAGGCCAAGAACAGTGGTAATTACAGTGAGATCAACCTCTTTTAATAGTCACTTTCGAAATTGAAATAAGAGAAAAGCCACGACAAAGTATGAACATTATCTCCATAACAACAACATTAAATGCAAGAAAGAACTCCATTAAAAAAACAGCAAAATTCTTTGTCTGAATGGTGAAAATAAGTGGATTTGACAGAGAATAATCACCAGAACTCAAGCCCCACATAATAACAGGAAAATTATGTCAAATTATACTGCGAAAAAATGTGCCAAATAATCAAATTTTCAGATAACCCATATTGCAATTTAGTGAAACTCATTCAAAATCATTAATTTCTACAAAATTATACTAGTAAAATCCATATCAAAAAGAATTCATTAATGAATAATATTGAATTTTAACTGAAACTGAAAATGGAATATTTACCTTGTCCACCATGAGAACCTCTTCTCCATTGACATCAACTTCGAGATCACAATAGGCATCCATTCCAAAGTAAACAAGGAGAAAAAACAAAGCCCACCTCAAATTAACCAGCAAAATGGGATCATATTCTGGATTTGGAAGAGGACAAACAGAAAAGGGTCGGTTTTATGGTATTGCAAAATGCTTAGTCAACTGGTACAGAGGCTATGTGGCTCTCAACTGGTGTGTGTACTGTATTTTGCATCGAGAGACGAGTGTTTAGGAGGCAACAAATTGCACAAGGACAAAAATTACACACTTGCAAATGTATATTATATGAGGAGAAAACAAAGAGAAATCAGAAGTCTAATAGAAACCAGAGTTGTTGGTGCCCACTAATTTTTTTCTCTGACATTCTTGGCCCAAATTTTTCTTTTTCAACTGCAGATTTTATGAAGACTCTTTGTGTGAGTTGGGAGTACAAGGCTTTTTTGAGTATTTGCTGCTTTTTCAGCCATGATGTTCTTTAATTATCCCATGTTGATTGCAATTGCGACAAGGTCCCTGGTTACTCTAGCATATTTTTTATTAATTTATTATATATCCCGTCTATCACATATTTAATCTTAGGGTAAATTCCTCCAAAGTCCCCAATATTCCACGAGTGTGGCAACTATGTCTTCAACGTTTCATTTGTGGTACTCGTGTCCTCACCTTTTAACTCTATGTGCTTTATCCAAGGGAAAATTGCAGCAACGGTACCAAATCTTTCGTTTATTAGCAGAGTTTGTCCAAACTTTTCATTTGCACCACCGTGAGTACCAATTCTTTAAAAAATCTGCAATTGAGATCCAAATTGATAGTTTCTGTTAGTTTGACCGTTAGTTGATCCAATAAATTGACTTTGACTAATATTAAAAAGGGTAAAATTGTAACTTTGAATTAAACTTAAAAACAAAAAACAAAAAAAAATTCAATCACTGTTCATCTTCTCTTTCAGATGCTTCCTCACAGGTTCTTTATGGTTCTTTATTTTTTTCATTCATGTTTCGGATTCATATTGCCCTCGGACCAGTACAACTATCCTCAACTTCATTTCCGAATTCGTTATGGTACAACACCAAATTTTGAACCAGACCTATAAAAATTATAGCTTTCTGGTTAATTTGCGCAAAAACGTAACGTGGGATAAAATTAAAGTCACATTTTGTTCAGAAATTTTTCTAATGGGACTGAAACTTATGCACCATCGCCAGTGCCTGTGAATGGGAGGACTAGTCTGATGAGAAATGAGCAACCCACCATGTTTGAAAATTGTAAAGCTCTATCTGATGGTTATAGGTGGACTTTCAAGGAGGAGGAGGATGGGATTGATATCGGGGTGGGATTGGGAAAGAAAAGATGAACACTGATTGACTTTTTTTTTTTTTTTTTTAAAAGTTTAATTCAAAGTTAAAATTTTACCCCTTTTAATATTGGTCAAAGTCAATTTATTGGGTCAACTAATGATCAAACTAACAGAAACCATCCATTTGGACCTCAAGTGCAGTTTTTTAAAGGTTTGATACTCACGGTGGTACAAATGAAAGGTTTGGACAAGCTCTGCTAATAACCGAAAGGTTTGATACCGCTGCTGCAATTTTCCCTTTATCCAATTATCCTCACTTAAATGAAAAATGTCTATTTAAAAGTTAATATCTAGGTGGCCAGCACCGGCTGCACTTGATGTCCGAATTAAAGTTTAAAATTGTCGAAGAAAGATTTCATTTATCTCGAATAGGTAATTATATTCACATTATAATTTTTATTAGTTAAACCACGCTTTAATTTCACTTCGGATGCGTTTGATTGTAAGCATGGAATTTGTATGGAAAGAAAATAAATTCTAAGTAATTCAATTGCCTAGAATTTATTTGTATGAAAATTGTCAATTAAATGTGTTTGATTGATTTCAACCTAAAAAATACAATACTTGTCCATTTTTATTGGTGGGTTAATAAGAGAGTGGATAAATAAGAGAGAGAGAGAGAGAGAGTGAATTCCGTGGAAAATAAAATTATACTCTTCCTGAGAAAATATTTTCCTTAATTATGAGAAAAATATGGTCACGTGACCAAAAGTGGGAAAATATTTTTCATGAAAAAAATGGCAATCAAATAGCACAAAAGTAGAAATTTGGGTAAAAAAAACACGTTTTTCATAGAAAATATATGCACTCTTAAGGTCATCAATATTTACTCATTAAGACGTATTCAATAACTTTTTTCAACTTATTTTAATCTCGAGCATTCCATTAATTAACAGATCTCGTCTCTGATGGTGGTTTTAAATCCAAAAACTTCATTGTGAAAGTGTAAAACAACTTATTTGTCAATCATGTTTTTAATATGCAAAAAATGTAAAACTTATTATTTCCTCATATCGAAGCAAGAACACAATATTTTGACAGAAACTATTTTCAGAAACATGTCTCACAGGATTTTTAGTAGTATTTGTTAGAAGTTGATGAAATCTTTGGTTAAAATAGAAATGTGAATCTCATAAAATATGTTGTTAAAATTAATTGTTGGCTTTCACTTTAATTTTGTCCTTCAACTTTATGTCATGTGAAAATCGCGTACAATTTTAATGTTCGCATTGACGGTATCTGCCGTATGAGACACATATTCACATAACTAAATAGGTTAGAAACTCAAAATCTCTAATTTTAGAAGTTTGGACTCAAAGCTATGCTAAGAGCTTGCTTGAGAAAGATTTCTTCAAGTAAAAAATGATTTTATTAAAGAATCTGCAACTAAAAAGTGAGAAAAATTATAAATCCAATAGAATGTGTGGTTAAAAATGATTTTTAAAAAAAAAAAAAATCTCTTTCAAGCTTAGCCCCCGTTTGGACTCATTTTTCCAACACTAATTTTCAACCGCATATTTATGCATAAAATAATTTTAAAATAAATCCTAATTTTTTTCTTATTTTATAACGATGCGTTCTTCAATTTTTTACTATTCTAAAACATAATTTCTCGACAGAAAAAATGGATCCCAAACATGGGCTTAAATTTTTTATTAAAAGGTTGTTTGAGCCCCATTTTTATGGAAAAATGAATTTTAGAATAGTAGATTAATAGGAAATGTGTAGATGAAAAATATGAAAAAAAAAAAATTAATTTACATATAATATTATTTTAATGAAGAATGTGTGATTAAAAAGAAGAAGGAAAAAATGTATTTTGATAAAAATGAAAATCAAATGGATCATGCAATCTCTTAGAGGAACTTCTGCTTTATGTTTGGGTTTCGAAGGAGCCCAACCGATTTTGATAGGGTATATGAAAGTGGATACGACTGAAGACCTTCATTGAATAATAGGGAAATTTTCATGTATGCATCAGAATATAAAACTTACTCACATCTTACCATGTAGTGAGAAGTTTTTTCGAAAATACTATGCTGATTGATAAATATGACTAAAAATACTAGTTTCTATAATTAGCATTCAAAGTCTAATCTGTAACTGAAGAAAAATTTGAACGACGCTTTCACAGGTTTTCCATTAAATGCATTCCATAATCACATATAAATTCCATAAAAAAACTATATAGATGAATACCATTTGTAAAGCATTGTAAATTGTGGAATTACTGCACAGTGAGAGAGGAACTGTTGGCATCACTGTCTAAAATACATCCTTGAAAAGGCACGCTTGATCTCCTCCAAAAAAAAAAAAGTCTACATTTCTCTATGAGGAAAAGGTCTGGAAGATTCAATATTCATCTAGTACGTTATATTACAGTTGTCGAAATCGTCGTATATTATTTCCCCTTTATATCATTTCTGTGTAATTTCTCCATTGTGAACTAACTTTTCGAACGAACGGATTGCAGAACCTGGGATATAAATTTATATTATTTGATATAGTATAAATGTGTATTGATCTTACGTATATAATCATATTATACCTGTACATTGCTGCTCTTACACGAACAGTTGGGGCATGGGCGGACGCAGACATTTTAGACTAGGGGGTCAGTAACGAACTTTTAAAAAAGTGATGAAAAAATTAAAATAAGATATATCTTATTACAATTGCTCTCTACGTGTTCTCATACTTTGATAACGTTCAATAATTACATCATTTTCAATCTTATCAAAAACATCTTTCTCAATATATGCAATCAAACTATCATTCAACCATTGATCTCCAATTCGATTGCGCAGACGATTTTTGATGTAAGTCATCGCAGAAAATGCTCTCTCGACTATAGCAGTAGCCACGGGAAGAACTAAGGTTAGTGTCACAAGTTTGTAGGCTAATGGATACACTTCATGTTTATTCTTCACAACCAACTTCTGTGCAAGATCGCTAATGCCTTGTAATTCTTCAAAGTCTTCAGAAGTGCGCATATCAATAATATACGTATCTAGTTGATCATCAAGTTCTAGGATATCTGCTGCGTCAAAATCTACCGGATAATACTGACATAGTCGAATCAATTTGATCTTGTCAAAAGCAGCAAATGAATTATTTGGAGATAAACATGCAACACAAATAAGCAAGTCACTATTTGCTTCAGAAAAACGATCATTCAACTCTTGAAGTTGCATATCAATGTCGGCATAAAACATTTCCACACGAAAATAATGCAAATTTGTCACTGTCTCACACCGTGAACGACCTACAGTTACGAACATATCATCCATATCGGGAACATTGATCTTGTGAGTTTCACAAAACGAACAAATCACTCCCAAAAAAGAATTCCATCCATCATCTCTCATGGTTTGGAATTGTATTTTACATATTTGCACCAATTTCATAGCATTGACAATTTCTTGATCTTTTCTTTGTAATGCTTTTGACAATTCGTTTGAAATCCCTAAAATCTTTTTCATGAGATATAGATTAAATGCAAATTCAAATCTTAACATCAACTCCAATGAAATGCATGCATCACCTCTTGTTCCAGTACTTGTAGAATCAGTAGCAATCATCTCAATGATTTCGACTATAGTTGAAAACATGGTAATCAAGTTAATTAAACAACTATAGTGAGAGCCCCAACGTGTATCCTCAGGACGCTGAAAAGTAATTTCTTGATTGAGACCTCTTCCGCTTGATATTTCACCAATACTGAGTGATTCAAGAATTTTCAATCTTTGATTCTCTCGAATAAGATCACTCCGTTTAGCTGATTCTCCAACAATATTCACCAATCTATGTACTATAGTGAAGAAAGTTTCAATCTTCGGATGTTTCTGTGCCACGGCTACAAGAGCTAATTGAAGTTGATGAGTAAAGCAATGAATATAGTAAGCACTTGGATTTTCTTTCAAAATAAGTGCTTTGAGGCCATTATACTCACCTCGTATGTTACTAGCTCCATCATATCCCTGGCCTCTCAAATTAGATATGCTTAAACTATGCGTTGAGAATAATTGATCAATTGCAGCCTTAAGTGAGGCTGCTGTGGTATTCAAAACATGAATGACACCGATAAAATGTTCCAATATACACCCACTCTTCACATAACGAATGACAACTGACATTTGCTCTTTCACAGAAATATCTCGAGATTCATCAACTAAAATTAAGAAGAAACTATCACGAATATTTTCGATAATCACATGCAGACATTCAGAAGCAATAGCACTTACAATATCTTTTTGCACTCTTGGTGATGTTAATTTCAAATTTTCAAGTGCATTTGTCAAAGCAACGGCATTAATCTCAGGATTATGATCACACAACCAATGCAATAGTTCAAGAAAGTTTCCTTGATTGTTTGAATCTTCAGATTCATCATGTCCACGAAATGTCATCCCTTGTCGTAGAAGAAATCGAACACAATCAATTGAAGCATTTAATCGGATTCGATAATTTGTTCGAGCTTGATGCGATTGTTTAACGAGACAAGATCGAATACTTTGTTCTTGATTGTTGAACAATTCATATTTGACCCGAGCTTGATTGTGTGCACTACTTGAAGCCCCAACGTGTTTTCTTATATATTCTTTCTTTTTCCAAATCCGCCTTTAACAAATGAACCATCATTCAAACCGAAAAGATAACAATAAAAGCAAAAAACTGTATCCTTTGCTATACTGTATTCCAACCAAGTGGGATGCTCATTATACCACGAAACACAAAATCGTCGGTCTATTTTACCTATTCTTGTGGGTGGAAATATATGATTGCGAGTCTGACAATGACCTCTTTGTATATATGCTCTTCGAATCACATCTCGAATATTAACATCATAATTCTGTATTGGAACTCTCAATCCAGGATCAGAGGGAAGCTGTGCAACATCAACATCCCCAACATCACCAACATCTCCAATATCCTCAACATTTCCTCCACTATCCCCAACATCTCCAATATCCTCAACATTTCCAACGTCTCCAATACCCCCAAATCCAACATCAATACCCCCAACGTCTCCAATACCCCCAACATCTCCAACATCAACATCAACATCAACATCCCCAACATCTTTTTCATCCTTTTTCTTTCGAACATTCCTTTCACCGATATTTTGTTCATCACAGGAAATCGTAGATGTACGTTTAAAGTATTTTTCCATAACTGAAACAAACCAACCAAAAATGAAAAATCAACAAGATTAGAAATGCCTAAATCAGTTTATACTATTTCCTACCTACCAAAAGTCAGACAAAATTTCAATCTTCCCAAATCAATATTATCAATAATCAATTTACATATAAATAAGTAACAAATCCCTAAATCAGAAAAGGGTCAATTTACTAAATCAAAGCCCTAAATCAGAAATCCCTAAATTACATTTATTGGGCAGGAACATGAATCATAATTGATTAATTGAACTGTAAATAAATCCAAATTTAGAAATAGGAACTAACCACACATGACACATAGAGGCAGGCAGCAGTTACGGTTATTGTCACTTATGGAGAAGAATTCAAAGAAAAAATTTGAGTAAGTGATAAGTCTGTAAGTGTAAAGCTTCTAACCTTCAAGTCAGTAGTGATGGGTCGCCGGCACTGGCGTGACTGGCGTCGGCTGTTGCTGTTGCCGCAGTCGCATGGAGGCTGGAGGCGTTTCAGGTGGAGGCAGTCAGGTCAGGCAGAAACAGAGGCGGGGACGGAGCGGTGGCCGGTGGCTATGGGTGAGCTCTCACTGCTCTCTGCTGTGCTTCAATGGTGGGAGACTGGGAGTGGGAGTCAGCGCCGTTTGTGCGAGGCAGAGAGAGACGGGAGTTGAGAGAGAGATATACGGTTGAAGCAGTCAAGCAGGGAAGGATTTGTTTGAGTTTTGACTATTTTGATTTTTGACCTACTAATTTATTTATTAAAAAAAAAACATTAAGACTAGGGGGTCAATTGACCCTACATGCCCCCCCCCCCAGATCCGCCAGTGAGTTGGGGGATGTATGGATTCATTTACATGGAATATAATAATTTATTCTACTATAAATGTTTCCCATACATTACAATGAATTTTATTTTATTTTATTTATTTATTTATTATTATCATTTTTTTTTTGTAATCCAACAATACCCTTATGCAGAATATTTAACAAAATAATTTTTTATATTCCAATAGAGAATTATGGACACAGTGAACGAATTTGTAATTCATGGAACATATGATATCGAACAAGCTGAAGGTTGACAGTACTCGTTCCTATATCAAGATTGAGTATAATGCATATGAAAACATGTATTCAATTCGAATAACGAATGATACTTCTCTACAATTTTACTTGGAGTTTAAGCGTAGGGATCCACGCTTCACGGCATATGCACTATGTATCTGTTGGACTAAAGGTAAATCACCATAAATTATACGGAAAATTCAAATTTATAGTATAAAATCAAAAATATCAAAAGTGATACCGATTTCTCTGATATTCTATTCATTGGGAATATATAGGCTTGATGTCGAAAAGATTGAAACTAGCGGTTTTTTAACAAGAATAACTATATGTTTACAATGTATCTTGCAAGTATTGGCGTCAAATGAGTTCTTGCATGAGGTGATGGATTAAGGTGCTAAGCATATTGAAAACTTGACGTGCATGATGTGTACGTGTAACCATTTTCAGGTAGATGGTGCTCCATGTAAACATGCGTTGGCGATGATAGGTGATAAGAGAGAGTTGCCATACAAGTATTGCGCACATTACAACACAAAAGTAGCGTATGTTGATACCTATGCTAGCGACATTGTTCCTTTAGGTTGTTGCGAGCAATGGAATAATGCCAATAATGTGAGTCTTGATCATATCCTGCCACCCAAATTAAAGAGATCAGCTAGGCTATCGAAGAATTCTGGAAGACGAACAAAGCTCAAATCCATTAATCCAATCATGTGCGGACGTTGTGGAGGGAAATGTCATAATAAAAGAACATGCAATTAACCACTCCTGCTTTGCCACCCGAGAAAAACAAAAGCACGGCTCATAATTCAATGATGGATGTATGTTACGTAAATTTGCTCAATTTACACGTGAATTATGTGTTATATGTACTTGAATAAAAAATCCATATTATATCTAGTGTTTTTTTTTTTGGCATTCCAGATATAAAACTTCAATACCATCATTTCATTAAATACTCTATATAATGATTTTCGCTAGCTTTGTTGAAATAGACACATATATGGTGCAAAATTTTATGGTTGATATCAGAAACATGCAATGACATCGTAATCCATGTATTCAGTTTCGAAACTACTCGCTTTGGTTGACGTAAAATAATTTTTATAAAATATTTCGAAGTTATATTTCAAATGTTGCCAACCATGCAAAAAACTGCAAAAGTTCGTAAAAGTGTAAGCCCCTATTTATTTCTCATTATTTGCTCATTAAAATGAAAAATATGATCATTATTCATTATATCAAATCATCATATTTGACTTTTTATTTCTTGTGTGGAACTCATAATAACTATATTTTTCATTCTCATTCTAATATTAATGTGGCTCAAAATGGATCTAAATTTACTAATCTCTTTGCTCTATGATAAGTGCGCTTGCTATGAGCTATGCAATGAAACTCACTTCAATGAACAAAAATGTCACAGTTAAGTAATTGAAAATTGAAAATTGGGATCCAAATCAATGATTTGACACTTGTTGTTCGATCTGAAAATACAGCTCGATATTCAACATGTACAACTGCACATCTTTATTGTTTATTGAACATTAAAGAAGAAGAAAACCGAAAAAGACAATGTATATATTTACTTCAAAATAAATTGGATACTGCCCTGAATGTTATTAATTTAAAATACCCCAAAAGATACAAGTAACATTGCATTTATGGTAAAAACGACATCCCAAACCTTAAAAACTGATCATATGTAAAGCACATAAAAGTCAAAACCAATGCTCTTAAAACTGGACCGGGAAAATCAAGAACCAACCGGGCCGATCGTAGATTGATAACCGTATATTAAGAAACCCGTTTGGAAACCACTAAACCGGCCAGTTAAACTTCTAAATCGGAAACCTGTTCCGATTTTTGCGAGTTTTAAAATTCCTTTTAGGAACAAACTTTTACTCGACTATGGGGCCGGTCGTAGATTAATAACTATATATTAAGAAACCCATTTGGAAACCACTAAGCCGGCCGGTTCAACCGCTCAATCGGAAACCAGTTCCCATTTTTGCGAGTTTTACAATTCCTTTTAGGAACAAACTTTTACTCCACCATTGGGGCAACCATACAATTGAAAGGCTCATACATAGAGGTGAGCGTGATGCACCTGCTACTTTAACGGAGTCAGTGCCTTTAACATGTTGCACTGGTTTCCGATGTGGGATTCCACTCAATTCCCATAACGCTATTTTCCAAAGTTTGCATGTTAAAACTTAAACTTTCAAATTTTAAATAGAAGTTTTCATCTTTTAATATTTTCATTTATTCATTTTTTAAACTCAATCTACAATTCACTTTATTATTAGCATAATAATGTTAGACGTCATTTTCAAATAAGCTCGTACAATTACAATTTTAATTTTAACGAAGTAAAAATTATTTCAATATATAGATTATTAGCCTTAAAGTATCGAGAATAATTGTATAATAATAAATTTAATTTGTCAAAATAGACTTGTATTTACTTTGAATTATTAGTATGAAAATATTAAAAAATAATTAATGTTGCGGTATTTTTGTGTCCGATTCAACCCCGATTGAACCTTTTGATCCTTGACCATTGACCTTTTTCGAGTCGATGCCTGAGTCGGGTTTCAAATCATTGGTCAAGACACATAAAAGGTTGATAATGACTACACTGATCATAGACCAAAATGCATTGGAATCTGGGACAGTTTTTATTTTTCCAAAGGATAAACCAACTGTTCCAATTGAAGTAATCGATCATCGGTCCCTTCATCTTCCTGTCTCGCCTCACGCTGCTTGGTACCGGGTCAAAGTCGGTGTCATAGGCTTCAATCAACCACCTTCTCGCATCCATGTTTGAGAAGCTGTGATGCTAGATTGATCCGATATTTGATTCGGTCTAATTCCATGACGCCTTATCAATTATCCCATTTATGATGTACTCGGCAAACCTTAACATGTAGAGACAACAATCGTGTCTGATCGCATAATGTGAAATTGCTGATATACACATTCAACTAATATGTAATTGGCAAAACATATGTATACATCCCCTCACCCAATTATCATCTTGGAAAAAAAAAAAAAACATTGACATCCTATCTATGATCCATAATTATGAAATATTTTGTTAAGGTTTAATAATAACTACAAAATACACATCATCTATGTTGCAAAATCAAGGTTTGATAATAAATTATGAAGATAACATTA